GCCCTGGTCAAGCCTCCTCCCCCCCCCCCCCATCGGCCAAAGCTCGTCGGCAGTCGGACCAAAACAAAAAAAGGCAGGCCCTAAAAGCTAAGGCTATTTTTCCCATCCCAGCCATTTCAGTCCCGAAGTCCCAATTAAAAAAAAAAAAAAATCTTGTTTTGGGAGTAAGGGACACCCCCTCCCATACCCTACCTCAGCTCGGGTCTTCAGCCCTCAGATAACGCTGTGCGCATAGCCTACCCATAATATACTTAGTCCCCCCCCCCAAGTCGGACATCCTAGTCCCCCATAAATTATATCCTTTTGTAATTTGCAGATTGCTTATTAAAAAGAGTACAGTAGGCCTATTTGTATTTTGTATACTAGAGCCGCCACTGCCTAGCCTAGTTCCTAGGCCTATCCTACAGGTCCTAAATACCATACGGACCACATGGGACCATACGCCATCATGCGCAACCACACGGATGCAAAAATGACATTAAAAATATTACCACATGAGAGTAGAAAACTTACTTTTAGAACGATAATTGTCCAAATTCCATTAAAAATTGATGTATGTTGTATTTTTGTTTGGTTGGTTTTGCCCGTCGTGTCTCGGTAAGTAATGCGTTGACATTTTGGATCTATAACGCATTGACGTGTCAGCAGAAATGTCATAGCATCACTCAAGATATATGTACTACAGTACCACATGGAGTGTGATAAACTTATTCTACATTAAGACAAAATGAGTATTTAAATTTCATAAAAAATACGCCCTTACTGTTTATGCTAATTAATGTGTCAAATATGCAAGAGATCAGTTTATAGAAGGTAAATAAAAAAATAAATTAGTATTCTTATCATCATTGCTTCACAAGTGACACCTTATAGAAGACAATCAAGACACTGAAAGCCTTCCATATCTGTTGCCTTCAGTGCATCCTCAGAGGGACCTGGGAAGACAGGATCCCCCACACGCAGATCCTGAGCAAGGCTGGTTCCACCAATGTCGAAGCCATGCTTTTTCGTTGAGTTTTCCGTTGGGCCGGACACATGGTCAGAATGGACACCTCACGACTTCCACGTATGTTGTTCCACAGGGAGCTGACCGAAGGAACTCGTCATATAGGTAGACCAAAGAAGTGTTAGAAGGACTTCTTAAAAACATTCCTCCCAAAGACCTCGAAACCCTCGCTACAGATCGTATCACATGGCGGCGGACTATTTCTGAAGGGGTCTGTCATTTTGAATTATCCTAGATGAAAAACGAGCAGCAAGACATGAGCGAAGAATCAACCCCCCAGCACCTCCAGCCCATTTTTCTTGTCCACATTGCACTTGGATCTGTGGATCATGCATCGGTCTACACTCCCATGTTAAGACCCACTGGAGATGATTGCGATCTAAAGACGGAGACTGAGAGCAACATCATCATCGTTTCGACAGACAGCTATTAACTAACTTAACTTAACTAATCATAAGTGACAGAAAACAAGAGTTGACATCTTTCGGGAAATGAAAAATATATTTATTTCCTCTCAAAAATTTTAATCGTCCCTGCCACCTTCTTTATTGTGATATCTTGCATAATTTGACATATTAATTAGCATAAACACAAAAGGCGTATCTTGATAAAATAACAGTAATGGTTTATGTAGTACAGGGCTCATGTATATGACAAACTATAAATACGGTACTGTACCGTTAGCCCCCGGGGGGTTACTCTTCAATATTTCTAGACGGGTAGGTGCCGCATTTACGGGGGTATTTTTGAGGACTAGGTAGCACAAGCGTTAGAATTTATGGAAGAGCTTCAGCATGTATACGGTATATTTGCGAGGACTTGGTAGCACAAGTGTGGTAAATACCGGGTAAATTTGGTAGTTAAAGTCCCTGCCCCGTCCCGTATCAAAGTTGCATCATTTTTTACACGATGTTAGCAAAGATTTTTTGCTAACCTCCATGCTAGACCTACCGTTGATACATAGCCACGAACTGTAGAGATCGAGAACAGACAGAACCGCGGTCTTATTCGCCATTGGGAACAGTACAAGTTTAATTTGGTTGGCTACATGGCCGTAATAGTAGTTCAACCGGCACCGGATTTTGGTAAATGGTAGTCCCTAGTAACTTTCAGTAAAATAAATAAATATTTTTGAATTTTTAATCTGTTTATATTTTACTTGTATCCCAATGGAATCTAATTCTTGACTACGGATAAATTGGTCATCCTATTTGTTTATATATTTTTACATTAATGCAATCTCCTTTACTCAATTGTTGTACACTAAAATGTATATTATAAAAAAACCCCCGACAAACGAAACCCCTAATAACTAAAGGGAATGAATTCTGAACTGACAATTTTTCTCTTCCAAAAATTTATCTACATACAATGTTAATAAAATGAGCAGTCCCGAAGTGAGTAGATATTTGATGAAATGTGTTATAAATAAATAAAAATGTATTATAAATAAATATTTTTGAATCTTTAGTCTGTTTATATTTTACTCGTATCCCAATGGAATCTAATTCTTGACTACGAATAAATTGGTCATCCTGAATCTATTTGCTTATATATTTTACATTAATGCAATCTCCCTTACTCAATTGTTGTACACTAAAATGTATATTATAAAAAAAACCCAGACAAATGAAACCCCTAATAACTAAGGGAATGAATTCTAAACTGACATTTTTTCTCTTCCGTGTGAGTCACGCACACCTTTATTTCAATCCTCTTTTGTAAAAAATTTATTATATATTTTTAAAATTTTCCAATTTTGTAATTTAGCCTTAAATAGGTAAGGCCCATTACATTACAATATAATAATTATGTGATAGCAATAATAAATAGTACAAGTTTGTATATTAGGCCTACTTATAACATAATAAAGTTAATAAAACAATTTTTTAATTTTCAAGTTCATTAGATTTTATGTTGTGTGCCTTGAATTTTTTAAATAATAGTCTCTCGATGAAATGTAACGTACGTAGTGGGTGTAGCAAGCCTATTTAAAAGGTTATGGTTGAACGTATTTCTGCAGATATGTCAATGCGTTAGAGATACTCAATGTCAACGCATTACCTTCTGAAGCACAGCGGCAAAAACCTGTTAAAAAATAGTCAATTTTTACCATAATTCAGACAACTATCACTATAAAACTTTAAAGTTGGTTTTTATTGATTATCAAGTCGTATTTTAATCATTTTTCATTTGTGTGGTGTCGTGTGGTTCCGTGAGGACCGTATCCTACCATGGATAGGCCTAGGCCTAGTTTAAAATGATAAAAAAAATAAACAAATCAGACCAAAAGATCTGAATTCAAACCTAATTTGGGTTAGGCCTAGGCTCATCGCCTACTACTAGCCTAGGCCCTAGGCCTATGCCTAAATAAATACTGTATGTAATATTAATTGGGCCTAGGGCCTAAATAATAACTTTCCTTTCTCAGTTAGCCCTGGTGGGAGCGAGAATGGGGTCTAGCCTAGTCTAGTTATTCTTTGTTACACTATAAACACTGCAGACGAATGGCAAATGATTTATTTATTGCATACTCTATATACAGTTCGCAAATCATTATTTATTAGTTTAAAAATCTTGATCCGTGAGTAACCTTGAAATCTGTGAGTTTTTATTCATCTGTAGTAAAACTGGCAAATGATAAATTATCTGTGAGTCTCACGGACAATCCGTATAAGTTGGCAACTATGAAGATATGCAAAAACAAGTAAAAACTGTTATTTAGCCCTAATAATAATAATAATAATAGGCCTAATAATAATAATAGTGACAACAGTAACTACTAGAGGGCACTCAGAAAGTGCAATACCCGTACCTCCGCATAAATTTCCCCCGCATATTGTCCCCATAAAAAAAAAAAAAACGAAAAACAAGGTAGACTCCTTGGGACTTGAACGTGGGGCTGGTAGTGCAGAAAACACTCTTCTAACCACTACACCAAACTGTTTTCACTACATCACTTTAAAATTAATGGTCATGTTTGTTTACACTTTATTAGCACACGTCTCTACGGCAAACAGTTATACAAGGTTTTCGATCATTGTGTCCTTGGCCTTTGACCCTGACCCTTCAAAATTTAGTCTGGTAGTGCAACGTGTTTATAAGAACTCAACCTGTAGCCAAATTTGGGGCAGGGGGCGATGACTCTCACCTGTATGACCCTTTGGAAACTGTCTGAGAGGACAGGAATCTATAGAGTTACAACATTTTAATTTAAATATGCTTTCAGTCCTAACCATGGTACACGTTGAGGTGGGTGTTTTCCTGTTTTCCACCCTAATTTTTTTTCACAATTTTGCAAAAAACTTAAAAATTTGAATGCTTAAACAGTGCTACAGTAGGTTATGTCAGGCCATAGAGTTCACTGCACTCCTGATTTTTTCATCTAACTAGCCCAGTTTCAGCCGTCATATTTAATGGCTGAGAATGCTATTTCCAGCATTTATTTTTTTATTTATTTTTAGGGTGACCCTAACAGCAATGCTTACTTAAAAAGGCGCTATCCTATAATTGTTTTTTACCTCACCCCTACCCATGATTGGTGGGGATAAGGTTGGTGTTGACGCCTTGGTACTCACATCTCCCTATTTTAAGCCAAAGTGTACAAAAACTAATCTGATTAAAAATTGACATAAATCTACTCAACATAGTTTGCCGCATCGTACATGCACCAGGAATCCCAAGGTGGTCCCCAAGGAGGTCCCCAAGGAGGTCCCCATCAATGGCGGTGCCAATAGAGAACACCGTTTCTAATTGGATTTGTCTATTGGGACTATGTTTGAAATTTTCCATTGATAACGAAATATCCAGAGGTGATGAAACTAGGGGTGCTGTGTTATGGAGAATAATGTGTGAACGGAAATGGTCTGCTGTCAGTTGGTTGTTACCATGCGCCAGTGATGTTGGAGTATATAGTACAGCAAGATGAAACTATTATGTAGGCCTGATGCATGAATAAATTCGGAGTTTGTTGGGTAGTGAAATGATTATTGTACATTTTAAGTGCTCCCTAAATTCATAAGTGTAATCTAAATTACGGTGATTAATTTAATTAGCGAAGATATGGAGACAATTATTTCGAAAGTTCCCTTTCCAAGAGGGGATGCAAATGCTTTGTGAAAATGAGTACGCCGTGGTACTCATTTTCGCAAAGAAATACACACAACTGGTTAGCTAACAATATGCCTTGATGTTACCTGGGAAGGAAGGTGCAATCACGTTGTTGCCTAGCAAACGTCTGTACTGTATGGGGTGGGGCTACTGATGTACTGTGTAGCATGGGACGATGAGGCATAATAAGACTAGGCCTATGCCCAGGCCTAACTAGACAGTGCAATAATATGTGATAGAAAGTACACTTTCGATAGAAATAAATTAAAATAAGAAAAAAAAAAACAACAAATAACTAAGAATAATTCAGTTGCAGAGGTACCTTGTTTACGTATTATACAATGCTAAAAATGCGGCTCTTTTACTGTAGCCCTAGCTACTACAAGGTTTCTGGGCGTAAATTCCCTTAATACCAATTAAGGGCTGCACAATCTCCTTGCCATACAAATTACAGCTCCCACTGACGTCTCAGTCGAGAAATACGGGTAGCTGAAGTTTTTCTCGCAAATCTGACTACGAAACCGTATGAAATTTCACGTTCCACTTTTGACCCTGAGTTGTGCTTCGCACTCGCCGCTGAGGGCAGTGTTCCGGGAACCGTGCGTTCAGTCTTTAAAATCTAATATTTTTGAAATGGGGAGGGCAAGAGATGATAAACAAACTTGAACTTGATTAATTATGCTGTAATTTCCAGCTGCCTCATGATATTATTATCACTTTTTAGTACCCTTGCTTTAATTAAGACAATGCTGTGAACATTTTAATTACTGGTAGCTTGCATCTCTTAACAAATTATTTCGTCAACAAATAAATCTAAGGTTTGTGATATTTATGGGAAGTTCTCAATTCTTGCATAGGTTCTATTTTACAACTTTTAACATGGATTAATTGAAAACATTATTAATTCAAATTTTAATATTTTTAGTCTTCTGATACTAGATTTCAAGTTTGTAATTTACAATTCATTTTAAAACATAAATGGTTGTATGTTTAACACCATCCTGAGATCTATTAGTAAAGTGCATTAAAAAAGAAAACAAAAAAATGTACAGTGTACCCCAGTTTGAAACCACTAATTAGAGCAAAATAATAATTCAGTATGCTGCAAGAATCAAACAGGAACCAGCAAATCTAATTCACCCAACAATAGTTTGGAGTGCAGGTAATGGCAGGTTTTAATATTCAATACATTTTATTATTTTAATATTTGATTCTCAAAATTGGCCGTACTCTTTAAAGAAATGATTTAACAAAAATTAGGATGGAATACAATGGTCTATGAAAAATATTGTAGGTTTTTAAAATCTATAAATTCACCCTACAATAGCTTTAATCGATTGTTTCCAGTGCAGTTAATGGCAGGTTTTAACAAATACATTTTATTATTTTCATATTTTATTCTCAAAATCGACCTTACTCGCAAAGAAATGATTAAAAAATATTAGGATGGAATGCAATAGTCTATAAAAAAATATTGTAGGTTTTTAAAAATTTTACATTTCATTGCTTTATGAGAAGTAATAATTAGACTATGAAAACTGGTTTTGACAAATCTACATTGTATCGGTTAAATAATAATAAAATTTGTACATTAGAAAAGTTCTACAGTAGATCTCTGAATTGGTTCATTCGCTTCAGTTTGTATACAGTGATTGTATTGATTTTTTGTGTCATTTTACTGCATGGACAATGGTCTGTACTGACATCATCTGACTCATCCTACCCATACCATGAAGCATCACACTGCTGAGCCTACAATCCTATTGTTTACTATTAAAGTAAATTGATCTGAGTATCTGCTGTGCATTGAAATATGTCCTGAGTTTAATCAGATATGGAGTAACTGAGCAGTTACTATGGTGTGAATATGTGTGAATGATTGTCTTAGTCATGGGGTGGGGCATTTTTTTAATTTGATGGGGGTATGGTGTGAATGATTGTCTTAGTCATGGGGTGGGGCATTTTTTTAATTTGATAGGGGTATGGTGTGAATGATTGTCAGTCATGGGGTGGGGCATTTTTTTAATTTGATGGGGGTATGGTGTGAATGATTGTCTTAGTCATGGGGTGGGGAATTTTTTTAATTTGATGGGGGTATGGTGTGAATGATTGTCTTATGTCATGGGGTGGGTCATCATATTAATTTGATATGGGAGAATATGTCTTTAGAGTATGATCAAAGTCAGAAATCTTTTGGTATCTTGTGGGGTTGAGACATTTCTATGGGGCAAGACATCTTTGTCATGGGTTCTGAAATTATTCTGATACAAATCCTTTCCTTCAATGGTGGTGCCAGGATTTGACCAATAGGAGGTTAGATGTCCTTGACTGTGGGTGTGGGAAAATGTGACAATGATAGAAACTTTCCAGTCACTGGAAGTGTTTTATTATTTTTTATTATCCACTATAAAAATCAGGCTACACACTTTTAAATTTAATAATTTCTATGCTTAAGTTAATAATTTGTATGTTGTACCCTACAAAATGAGCAAGTTAATCTCAAAATTATTTGTCAGTTCCAGGGCACAATGTGCATCTTTAACACTAACAGAATTGAATTATGAGGGATACAAAAGAAATCAATATTGTTTTCATCTAACCAGATATTGGACTTGGCTTTGTATAGGAATTTTAAATCTCAACAGTTGCATGCAAACAAAACTGCATGATGAAAGTCTAAATGAAGGAAATACACTGTCAAAAGAAACAATGTACAGTAGGCCTACATCTCTACTTTTGTCAACATGAATACCTGTTTCTCTTCTAATTTTTGTCTGGTGTACAATTGTGACTGATAAACCTTATTTAAACAGATAAATATCCAATTGAATGGAGTTTTTCACCAAGGTGACAAAAGCTGCAATATTGGGAATTAGTTAATCAAGGAATTAAGGAAAATTTATTGTCGACAATACAACAAGATAAAATCAAAATTTGTGTCCAGCCGGTGACTGTTAGTACAATGGATTAATAAATATAACATGATAATATTAGTTTAAACAATAGAACATAAAAAAAAACAACAGTATTAAAATATATACAAACATTTACCAGAAAATTTAAAAAGAAAGACCAATTATTGCAGATAACTTGTGTAACCAGATATTGTAAATTGAGACTTAACTAAACCGAGAAAATATGGCAGGTTCTAGAATATAGGCAAATAAAGTCTATCTGCTGAAGTTATTAAATATAAGTTGTGTACAAATGGGTTTCTACATCTAGATGTTCTACATTTCAAAGGTGGGGTCTACCTGAGTTGTTTTTTAAGTAATACGAGTTTAAAGGATGTGAAGCATCATTGATCTTATCTAATTTACATACGACTGTCTGGTTATACCGTACATCATCAATACCATAACATCAGCTTTAATAATTCTTTTTGCGATTTTCAGTATTTTAAAAATCTTGTGTTTAGAGTACCATTAAGACTGCACTTGTTTGTAATGAACAGTTTGGAATCTGAACAGTTTATTTGTCTGACTTGGAGGCCAGAAGACTATTGAAAGGTCTTTGGTTACCATAGGTACCACAAGCTTTGATTGCCTTGGGGTTTCATAGCTACATTCTTGTATTGTACACAATTTATGCTGAGAGCACTTGGTAATCATACGGAATCTGTGTTTTTGTGAAACGGCTAGGTACTGTAAAAAAAATATTGAATAGGAAGGAATAACAAGATTGCTGAAGTATTAAAATCTTTTGACATCAAATTTAGCAGTTGAACAATTAATACAGATTTAACTTTTAAGCATTGTATGTTGATTCTTTTATACTATGCTATACATGTTGATGCTTAAACGTTAAATAATACTTAGAATTAAAAATATGTTAATTTTTATATACTTGTTGATATTTTAATATTGGTAGTTGAAAATATGCTGATTTTTATACGTGTTGATTTTTTAATGTACTTATATGTACAGTAGTTCTTTTATGTACTTTGTTTTAGTGTATTAGCATTAATATGTTCAAATCTGCTCTGGAGAGGCACTGGTCAACCAATTTAAGGTAGTGTTGATGCTTTAATATTTTACATTTAATACTGTATGTTGGTTCTTTTTATTATAGTTATGAACAGAACAGGATGCCTTCCAGACTAGGAGCAGCAAAAAAAGCACGGTCCGTTGGCCGTGCATCAAAAGCTTCAAGCACGATTTCACGTAGAAGTCAACCTGCACGTCTGCGTCAGCCCCTACTAATGCCAGTCAATAACAGCAACTGGCCTGAATCATTTGGATTTTCAATTGGAGGTGATGCTCCTTCTTACATTACACATGTTAAGAAAGGCAGCCATGCCCAGTTAGCTGGGTTGCAGGGAGGTGATCAGCTTGTTGAATTGCATAATCATAATGTTACACAGATGTCTGCAGAAGGCATCAAAGCCCTTGCAAGACAGTGCCCAAATGTACCACCAAGTATTGTAGTTGTTTCGTGTGTGCGCCAGTGTGATGTAGTCCGTGATCCTGATGGGAGGTATGGAATGACCTTGATCGGCGGGGGACCAGTTTATGTTGAAATTGTGGAAACTAATAGTCCAGCACATTTTGCAGGTCTAAAGACAGGGGACATGGTATTGGAAATAAATGGAACATTGATTAAGCATTCTGATGATGCAAAAATATTTGTGAGTGGTGGACGCAAACTTAATATAAAGATTATACCTGGTGCTGGCCATCAATCTGTTCGACAGTTGGCTTTGAGATTTGAGGGCATGATGGGAGTAGATCGAAGAACAAGAACAGAAGGATTTTTTAAAAAGGTATGGCGTAGTGTAAATATTCATAATTAAACCAAAAAAGACCATTTTGTGCCCAATCGGATCACCTCACAGATTAGGCTGAAATGTATTTCTAGCAATCATATGTCCACAGTTCTCAACTTACTGTAGGGTCGGGAGTTGCTATCAGAGGTCATTAAATTTTCAAGAGAACAAGAAGAGGGTCAGTGAAATGTATGGTATGTCATTAACACAAAAAGTACTGTATCAGTACATTTTGAGCAGCTCGTAGAGAGAAAAGGGGTTAAGACTCTTGTTTTGAGAAATTTTTTTTTCTTCAGGTAAAAGTTACCATACCTGTACCTTGTAAACCTAAACATATTGGAATGCCTCACAATTTTGTATATGATCATTTTATAACACTATCAGTTCGTGAAGAATGTTCTTTAAGTCTAGTTATTAAGCATCTACAGTATCTGTCCTACCAATATAATCACTATTACAACCTGGACATTTAAAGCCACGTTCACATGTCTCCATCGATCGCGAGCGGTTGAGATGCTGGGTCGTGAGCGGTTGAGATGCTGGGTCGTGAGCGAGATTGTGTTAGATATAAAAAAATGGCCAAACTGCGTTCGTTACACCACTTTCGAGGCGACCAGAAATAGATTTACGTCACATCCCAATTGGTTGTCGACATACAGTACCAGGCATGCAATTTCTGATCCTAGGCCTGGACAACAATCCTCCAACGGTCCTCACCTGACATTTTTGGGTGATTGCCGATGTTCCCAATTCTGTGGTAAACCGGCAAGTTTAACGCATTTCTGTAACTTATATTGCATTTTCTCGTTTTATTTCGGAAAGCCACTGAAAATAAATAAATCTATTTATTATATGTGGCAAAGACAAGCCAAACCAGTCACTTGTCGCAAATTGTGTTTCAGAGATAATAGCAAAAACATGTTAGAATGTGAAATTTTAAAAAATCTATTTTATTTCACTAAACTAAGGTTTATATATTTATAGATCATGCTGTGCTGTTATTTTTCCAAATTTCAATGTTAAAGCAACACTTTTTAATAATTTTATAATAGTTTCTGCATGAGAAATGCCTGAAATCATAAACTTTGAAGGCTGATTTCTCATTGTTCTTTAAACAGCTGTATGCTTAAATGCTTGTAACTTCAGAAGGAAATGTCGGTTTTGAACGATTTTTTTACCATTTTATAGCTCTTATTTTACTCTTTAACCCTATATTAATAACTCAAAATCGATTTTTGCGACGAGTGACTGGTTTGGCTTGTCTTTGCCACATATATTGTAAGTTCGCCTTTATTTTCGAATCATAAGTTATAAAAATTTGCATTTTAAAATCTTCCGAACGTAGACCTAGGCATTGGTACACAACTGTACACGTACGTTATTAAATCATGTTTGTAGAAGAAATGTACGATACGATATCCATGAGTAATATTACTTTTAAACTTAGTTATGTGATTTATTGTTGTTATATTAAAAGTGATTTTCAAGTTTGTATAAATGGTAAATACCACGCCATTCTTAACTCTATTCCAGGCAGGAAACGTGAAGTCACACTTTTTCTCCCTTACTTTGACCCCAGAGATGCTTGTATCTGATTGGCTTTCACGCAAAAGAGGTCCCAGCTCGCTGGCGACCCGCTTGCAACCGGCTGTTCACATGGATCGAGAGCGAGCTGCATCGAGAGCCACTCGAGAGCGGCTTGTCGTGGGTCACCCACGACAAAAACCGCTCTTGAGCGGTTGTTCACATGAAGGCCCGACTCGCGAGCGACCTAAGACATGTGAACGCTGTATTAAATGATAAACAACAGAGCTCCTACAGTATATTCCGCAGGGGTTTGATCTTTAGTAGATATCAAATGAGAGACATTTTTGTACTGCCATTGTTATGAATTTTACCTCTTTAACTAAGTGTTTCTTTACTTTGTTTAACCCATTAGGACCTAGACGTGCTAATGATAAAACTTTAAAATTGTACTTTAAATTTAAATATATACTTTTGAGTAGTAACTATAATGCTTCATCACCATAGGCAATATCAATATATTTAAATGTTTCGCTGAGCAGAATAAAATAATATTAAATAAAATGGTCAGGGTAGCGGGATGGAAATTTTTAAAATTACCCCAAATTTGATGCTTTCTTTTTATCTGTAAAATTGAAAAGAATATTAACATTGCTGATACCTTCATGCCATAGGTGTATGGAACATTTTAAGAAGGTAAAGACATTAAAGGTTTGGAGAAATACACTGATATGTCTAATCATCATTATAGGTATAGACCATTATTTGCTGTAAGCTTGTATTTTAAGGGGTCATTTATACCCCCTGCACATTTTTGGCAGAAATGGCAGAGTTATAGTACTAAAGAGCTCTATAATGATGGCATCACAACATTTGTGGAATCACATCAATAGTTTTACATTATTTAAAGGTATTATGTAGCTTTCAATGTTCTTATGGTAGCGGGACGGAATTCCAAAAGGTGGCAGGACGGAATTAAACAATTCTTTTGGTTTAAAATTGTTTAAAATATTCCAAAATTACTTTTTAAGCCAAAATCATAAATTACACTTTTAAAATCGTAATATTGTTAAGAGTTATGGAAATGGAATCGATGCAAACTGAAAAAATCAGCAACTATTAGGATTTCCGTCCCGCCACTTTTACTAAGTACTTTCTTAAGTTTGGTCACATGATACACAAAAAATTGGCATATTATCACAAAAACAATATCAGCTTTAAATGCCCAGATATTTATTCTTTTAAGTGACATTAAATAATTTCATAAACTTTTAAAAGTGAAAATTTGGTTTTAGGGTTGACAGGTTTTGGATTACACCCTGAAGTCATTAACGTTTTGGTTATGAAATCACCCTAAACAGTGCGATGCATCTCTTAATGCTTTAAATTAGGAATTTCATAATGCTTTTCAGTATCTTATATCAAGGTAAAAAGACAATTTACGTGAACCGTTAGGGTGTACCCAGGATAATGGTCTTGGAGCCTATTTTCAAACAGGCATTATGCCACTGGTCAAGGCTCCATTGTGGAGTTCTGGGAAGTAGTAGAAGGTGCTCTTTGGACCCCTAACATATAGGCATATATGCTGAAAGTAATACGTCTGAATTGTTTCTAATATAATGTAAATTTTCTTTTCGAGTTCCAGTTCTCTGAACTAAGTACAGTATTTTAAATGTTGTATTAATCCATATTACATCCATATTACAGCTTGATGCGGTGTTTATAGATGAACCATCAAAGAAAGAAGCTTTGATTGCATTGCTTAAACAGTATGCTCGTGATAAGAAAGTTGATAATTTTGGTCGAGCATTAGCAGCCCTTCTAGATTCAAGTAATCAAAAACAAATCTTGGATGACGTCAGGTAATGTGTGTATTCTGTCCTTTTTTAGTGTCTTCTCATATTCTATACAGTAATTAACATGGCAATTTGTATTAGAGTAGTTTTGTATGACCGTGGATATTACAGATTGTAGAAAGCAAACATTATTCAGCATTGTAGACTTAAAATATGTCCATACATTGTACTGTACATGTTTCAATATCATATTTTTTCCTGTGTTGAAGACAAACCCTTTAACATATATATTTACTGTAGTAAAAATTATTGACATACTTAAGTCTGTTAAACTTTAAGGTGAAATTCTTAACGTTATAGCTGTGTTTAAGTTTGTTTTTTTAAGGTGAAAATCCTATGTTATAGCTGTGTTTTGTTTGCAAACCTTAACATTCAATTGAGTATTAGTAAAGTTTGTGTAAATTTATGTTGCATTAAAATGTTGGCCCTTTTTATTGACAGGGTATTCGTTCCACCATCTCAAAGGGACAGGTTTAGTCTGTACTTTAGTAAAGATTCTCAGTATGCTGGCAGAAGGTAAGGAATTCAAACGTCAATTATGTAGAATCAGAGTTTGCAAGTGGTAAAAATACTCCACAGATAGAGGATTTTGCAGAATAAAACATAATAATTTCCTTCATACTCAAATTGAAGTAGTTATAACTTATTGTTTTAATGATCTTTTTACATAGCAAAACCTCCAATACACTGATCTGCCCTCCCCACAGCTCCCCCCTGTTTTTTATGTTACCGTACACAAATATCTATTTGATAATTTTAAAGAATAAACAATTAATTCTATCAGTTTAAACAGTATACAAAATTTTCTTTATAAATTTTTTTTTTTATAGATTTTAAATCTGATATTATTTGGTAAATTTTGAATAATTTGGCACATACTGTAAGGTTCCAAACTGTAGCCTCAGCAATTTTGAAAGATTTTCATAAGTCTACAGTCTGTAGTACAAAGTAAAACATTTACAGTATCCACATCTATCAGTTGTCATTAACAAGTTATTGCATTTGCATGAGGATGTCATAGACCAAATGAGAAACTCACCATGGCAGACAAGATGCTCAATGAGAAACATTAGTAGAATACAGACTCAGTGAAAGCAGATTATACTTCAGAAATATTGTATTAACCTCATTGGAATTCAGTATTATTTAAAGTACTATAATCTTATGTTGTAGTGCTTAACATTTTTTTCTGGTTTTAAAGCAGATTTGTTTCAATTGATCGAACGGGTGGATCATTTGGGTTCATGTTGGTTGGGTCAGGCCCAGTAATGATTGAATCTATTGACTCAGGTAAGCAAATGATTTGAAAATTATGTTGACTGTAGGGCAAAAAATTCCTTCCATACTTTTTTTTCTGAAATAATAGCTTCCCTCTTGTTTAACTGACAATGTTATTGATGTTAAATACCAACATGGTAGTGAATGTACATTGTTCTCACAAGGATTTTGCTACAATTTCCTTGGCCACCCAGTCTTATGGCACCCGAGGCTTGTTGGCAACCAGACTTATGCCACCTTAGGCCTTTACCAACCAATTTCAAGTTTGTTTAAAGTCACATTTGCAGCTTCCAAATTGTTATGATTTCTAATAAAAACACCATATATATATTGTTTGAATTATATAGGACCTTTTATTAATCTTACTATGTTTTATTTCCTGTTTACTGTAGTTAAATAAGTCTTAGCATTAAGCTGGTTTAATGGCACCGCCAATAAACTATCGCCTACATAATCATTTTGCCGACATCTTATCATGGTTTAATTGTAATTAATTCGCCCATTAACTTGTCACTGAACTTATATTTTGGGGTCCAATCAACTAATTGTATTGTTAACTTGATTCTAATTGGCTAATACCAGTGTTCTCCCGAAGCCGTTTTAGCCGTCAATTTTACCAGTAAAAGTAACTTACCAACCAGTTAATATTGTGTGTTGGTAGAATAAAAAAGCACTTATTAGGCGTAGGTAGCCTAGGCTGACCTTCTTTCAATAAACGAATATCATTCCAGTCCAGGCCTAGTCTTGGACTAGACTTTAATCTGCAAGTGTGGAAGGACTATTAAATAAGTCCTAACTAAAGAAAAAAATAAATTATCTTACCTTTTTGTCACATCGTAAGTGCTATATTATTATTATCATTATTATTGTTGTTATTGCTAATCTTCTTCTCCTCCCCCTCCCCCGCCATGTACACCGTCTCGGTATTTTTAATTTTAAGTTTGGTGCAGAATTTATTTATTAAAAAGTGACTTAAAACTACATGATGAAACTACCGATCACTAGACACAATTCTGGTATTTTTTAATAAATGTTATTACATGGTAAAAACTAACTCCCTTTGCATACCATCCTGGTATTTCATGTTTTGGGGCTGTAAATGTTAAACATTCTGTGTTGGAGTACCAATGTTTTCATTTATTTATTTGTTTGCAGTTTCAAGATAAAAAAGTAAAAACTAATGTGTATGGGTACTGTTGATTGTGTTTAGTATCTGTTGGGTAAAATTTAGAAATTGATCAACTGGTTGGAGCAATTACTACAGTAATCTCTGTGCTGTTTTCCTGGATGATAGGCCTATGGTCATACTGAGTTCACCTTATATCTTTCTGTATAGGTACTATCAAAAGATCCCTGTTATATTGATTTTGATTACCATACCAGTATTAAACAATCACTATAGCATATGATAAATGATAGTATGCTTTGTAAAAGCAGCTCATGTAAACAAATGCCTCCTTAAAC